ATCTCAAGTCAGGGATTGTGATGCCTCCAGACTTGTCTTTGTTGCCCAGGACTGCCTTTGCTATTCTAGGTCTCTTCTGGTTCCAGATAAATTTTAGGAGTATTTTCTCTAGTTCAGCGAGGTATACTAATGGTTTTTTTAATCAGGTTTGCATTAAATCTGTGTAACAGTTTTGGAAGTATGGCCATTTTCACTATGTGTGTTCTTCCTATCCATAAGCAAGGATTTTTCCATTTTCTGATACCCTCTTCAATCTCCTTTTTCAAATTATCATAATTTTCAATATATAAATCTTTTACTTCTTTGTTAGATTGATTCGTAAGTATTTTATTTATTTGGATGCTATTGTGAAGGATGTGGTTTCCCTGCTGAATGCATAAATAAAACGTTGAACAGCGATATTACTCAGCTAAAAAAAAAAAAAAAAGGAATGAAATACTGACACATTCTGCAATGTGGATAAATCTTGAAAATATTATGCTAAGTGAGAAGCCAGTCAAAAAAAGACCATATATTATATGATTCTATTTATATTAAATGCCCAGAATAGATAAACTTCCAGGGATATAAAGTAGATTAGTGGTTGGCTAGGGCTGGAGTCTTGGAACCGATAGCTAAAAGGTGTGGATTTCCTTTTTGGAACCATGAAAATGTTCTCAAATTGACTGCGGTGATGGTTGCCTAACTCTGAGAATACAGTGAAAACCACTGAGCTGACAATTACATAGGTCAGTTACAGAGTATGTGTCTTGGTTTCTTTTCCTTGTCGCTGAGATAAAATACCAGACAGCGAAAGTTAAAGGAAGAAGGATGTATTTAGTTCACAGTTTGTAGAGGTTTCAGTCCATAGTCGGCTGGCTCCAAGCCAGGGTGGCATGGCAAAGGGGCATCACAGAGGAGAAACAGCTCATGGCAGGCAGGAGGCAGCAAAGCAGAGAAGGACAAGCGACAAGCACCGACCCTCTTCCTATCCCTTAATCCCATCCAGGCTTCCCACCCTTGAGAAGGTAGGGGAGAGACACTCACATTCATGGTGGAGCAGACTTAATCCTAGCATCACATCATGAATCAATTCCACCAGCACATTCCAACATCACACACAACCTAGATGCAGCCACCTCTGAAAAGCCCCACCTACGACCACATCTAGACACAAGCCATAACACTCTGTGGTTAAATCATAATAAATAGGGCTGGTTCTCAAAGACCTGCTGGGGTTCTGGGTCCCACTGAGAGATGGCAAAAGTCCCGTCTGAAGCTAGACCAGCTCTGCTCCCGTTCACGAGCAGTAACTCCTTTGCAGCAGCAACATAAGGCTGACAATCTCTTCCTGAAAATATTGTTGCGATTTTCGTCTGAGACTATGTATCCCAGGCTAGTCCCAAACTCAGGATCGTCCTGCCTCAAACGCTGGAGTACTAGGCATACAGATGTGCACCACCACGCCAGGCTGATTGTTCCAATTTTTGTTTTGTTTTGTTTTCTGAGGCAGGGTCTCACTGTGCAGTTCAGGCTGGCCTTGTTACTGTGTAGCCCAGGTTGGTCTCTAACTCCCAGCAATGCTCCACCTGAGCCTCCAACACGCTGGGATTGTAGGTGTGCGCCACCACACCCAGCTCGTTGTGATTCTGACTTTTAAGAACCCGCATTAGGGTTAAAGAGCAACGCATGATGGACACTCCATAAACACTACAGGGCAAGCGCACAGCAACGCAGATCTGCACGTAAGTATATGCACGCGAATACCGGTGTGTTCCCCGAAGAGATTCCGAGAGAACCCGAGCAGGCGATCGCATCCTGTGGGGTGGATCGCAGGGTCGCACCCCTCCTCTCTCAGACCCTCGAACAGTGAGACAGCGCTGCAGCTCGCGAACTCTGGGGTCCAGAAATGCAGCACCCCGGGGCCTGGCCTAGGGAAACCAGGAGGTGGACCACAGGGTGTGACGAGGCCGCCCAGCCCAACAGAAGGGGCTGGTACTGAGCCAGACCCGCCCGGGCGTCCGGGAACTGCAGCCGCTCCCGACCCAGCCGTCAGAGAACAATGCACTCGGCCCTTCCTCCTCCGGGAGGGGCCGGCCGCTCCCGGGCGGCCGCGGTGCCTGCCGGTAGTTGTAGTGTGCCGGGCCTGCCCGCGTCACGTCCCTGCCCGCCGTCCGGGCGGCGCGCGCAACTACAAGTCCCGTCAGGCTCCGCGAGCGCGATCGCCTGGCTTTCGCTGCGGACGGAGTGCGGCGAACATGGCTGCAGACAGTCGCGGCGGCGCGGCGTGCAGCCGGGCTGGCGGCCCGCAGGACCTGGCCCGGGGCGCCGGCCGCTGCCCCTTCCCGGAGTACGAGCTTCCCGAGCTGAGCACTTGCGTG